GGAAAATCCTCGCCTCCTTCAATAGCTAATGGTCATGCGTGGGTCTTGGATGCCATCTTCGCTGGGTCTAGGTTGTTCAGTGCAGGGATCCTTGGAGCAGAGGATGTGCTCTGTCCCCATGTTTTCTCTCTTGGTGGTAGTCTGGTATCCCCTCTCTCCTTTTACATACGATAAAAAGTGATGTAGGTCACCCTGCAGGAAAACTCCATATACCGTATACTTGTTTAAGCCTACCCTAATACCAGCTGAGGCACCTAATTTTAGCACAAAAACTGCTTCAAAAATGTGCTGAAAAGCTCGGCTTATACACGAGTATGTAAGGGTATGTGAAATTGGGACCGAGACCAGAGTAAGACCATCATATCCCACTCTCAGGTCCCCACAACTGGTAGGCTGGTCACATGGAGGTGTGCATGTGTGCACTTCATTACATAACTGCCAAATTACATCTGACCACTGAGAATCACGGCCCAGCCAAATCAACCCCTACGTTGAGGGTAACAGTTCACTCCGTGACATAACCAAAGAAAATAGAGGCACATTAGACTTCATCAAAAGTACAAATATCTGTGGGTCAGAGGGTTTTATTGACGTGAGAACCACCAGAGAAAGGGAACAAAGTATCTGCAGACACGTATCTGGTAAGGCTCTAGAGCCACACACTATAAAGAACATACAATATACACAACTCAACAAAAAGAGAACCCGGGGATGCCATTTCAACCTCGTTAGTGGCCTCCCTCATCCGGATGATGTGTTTGTGTCTTGTCTCTTATAAGATTTAATAAATGTTCTCTTTAGAGTAGATTCAAGGTCGGGTCTCGTTTGTGCTCCTAAAACCCAGGGTGTGAGCAGAAAACCTTCAAAGCTGTCTTTTGGTGGGCTCTCTGGAGGGGCTGGGGAGCAGCACCAGAGAAAAGGGGTCCTCTGCTTCCCATTTCCAGACTCTCAGAGCCCTGCAAGGGTAAGGACTCTTGAAGGGAGGTGGGGGCAATTCCAATTTAAAACTTGGGAAAGAAGTTGAGTAGTATTAATCCACAGGAGACACTCAAATGGCCATTAAGTACATGAAAAGATGTTAATGATTAGTCACTAGGAAAATGCAGAACTCAAACCGAACATGTAGGAGAACATCAGAGGTAGAGAAGGCACACCCCTCCCACGGCTGGGGGTTGTCGCTAGGCACAACAGAACAAAACACTGCCCGGCACAGCGGGCCTGTGGAGCCCACCACGCAGCCACGGTGCGAGAAGTGGTGCTGCGGCGGAAAAGCGGTCTGGCACTTCCTCAAACCGTTTCAGCAGTTACCACACGATGCAGCAATGCCATTCTGCGTACATACCCGAGAGAACTGAAGACATAGGAGCGAAGTCCTAAGTTCAGCTCTACAAGCATACATAGAATCCTTCAGTCCCACCAGAAAAAAATGTGAATCTATTGTTTCTCAACGTGCCTTCCATCCAGGCCTAGCCCATCCTCCTCTAGTCCTGCCTCCGTAGGTAGAAAACTGCTCTGGGGGAGAAACAGGCAACTGACTACTATGATGTATAGTCCCCCGCCCTCCCCAGGGAAACGAACAATAATAACGTGGATGCAGGGAGACAGCGGGCAGTGTAAGATATGAAAATAATTTATAATTCATCAGGGGTCCATGAGGGTGGGAGGGGATAAAAAAAGAGAACCTGATACCAAAGGCTTAAACAGAAAATATTTTGAAAATGAAGGCAACATATGTACAAATGTGCTTGATACAATTGATGTATGCAATGTGATATAAAAGCTGTTAAGAGCCCCAATAAAATGACTTATTAAAAAAAAAAAACCCAAACTGGGGAGGGAAGAAATGGAGTTGATATCAAAGGCTCAAGTGGGAAGAGAATGCTTTGAAAATGATGGTGGCATATGTGCAAATGTGCTTGACAAACTGGAGGAATGTATGGATTGTGTTGAGATGTAAGAGCCCCCAATAAAAGTATTTAATAAAAAAACCCAACCCCAAACTGCTCTTCAGCATGATCAAAAAGGCAGTTCTGACATCCCTAAGTGGCTCAAACCATGATCCTTTTAAAGCAGTAGCTCTCAACCTTCCCCATGCCGCAACCCTTTAATACAGTTCCTCATGTTGTGGTGACCCCCAAACCATAAAATTATTTTCATTGCTACTTCCCAAGTATAATTTTTCCACTGTTATGAATTAGGTGACTTTCGACCCCCACAGGGGCCTTGACCCGCAGGTTGAGAACCGCCGTTGTAAGGGTTTTGTGAAAAAGGTCCGAAGGGGCAGGAGCGGGGCTGTAGGGTCCATGGGGCTGGTTCCCTAACGCTAGGGCAGCTGCAGGTCCAGTCAGGAAGGGGAGACCTTGATGCAGCTTTCAACTAAAATACCTTCCCAACAAGCCCCCTGTGACCAACTTGTGTCCTTTGAGAAAAATCAACCACTATCACTCCTTTCGGGTGCCACAACAGTCACTCCAACCTTCTGAGCTGACCTCTGCCTTCACCGTACCTGGCCCGTTACACCCTCAGGAGCCAGTCTTGGCATTTTTGGGAAGGCTCTCTGTTGAGACTCAAACAAGTGCTCCCGAGGAAACTTTATGTGCTGGCATCAAGGAAATGTTCAGACGCAGTGAGTGGCTCTTCTCCTCTGACCAGTGGTTTTTGAATGAATGCGTTCTGCCCCCACACAGGCTGCGAGGGCTCTGGGAACAATCTCATTTCTAAAGAGGACACATGACACAGTCCGTGATTTTCATGTACAATAGTATGGGGGAAATGTTCTGAAATTGATTGTGGTAAAGATTATACAACACTTCTTGGTATAGTTGAACTACTGAATTATTTACATGAATCAAGTGCCAACAAAAGTGAGCCTTCTAGCCCTGGATGTTGCTGTGGTGACCATGCCTGGACAGCTGACATGGAAGGTGAGCACCTGGACACCATGCTGAGGGCAGAACAGAAAAGTCCACTGGGCCCTTTAGAACCAGCCTACCTCTAGGCACTTGTCTTGGGCATAAGTGACCCTGCTGCATCTGTTCTATTACTTTACTGAAGGGACTCTTCCTGAGGATTGGAGACAGAGGGAACCGTTTTACATTAGCATCCAACCATAGTTCAAGATGGGCTTGTCTGGAAGCAAGGTCCTTCCCACATTTTCATGTCTGGTTTCTGGGTTTATCACAAGCACTCCCAGAGCCTTGTCTAATAAGTAAGAATTTCCCATGAAAGAAAAATCTTAACAGAAGGAACCTCGTCTAGTCACTTAACATCCGAGTCTGTTTCTCACTTGTTAAGTCTCTCAACCTTCACTGGGGACACCAGAATGAGACCTGAAAGTCAATGGCTCAAGTATCTTAAATGTGACTATACAGATTTTAATAAAGTAACCCTAATTGTGGTCCTTTTCGATTCAAACACCAAAAGCTACCATTGGTACCTCTAGCCCATCTGAGGCAGCTATTAATAGTTCCTAGAAATATTAAGAGTTTCTATGTGGCAAAATGATACTTCCTGATAGCCAAAAAGCACCTACAACCTAGAAATTCTTGTCATACTAAGACCGATTGTTAGAAATAGCCTAAGTGGACAAATGACATTTTATCTAGAAGATACCCTAAAACCAGTCTAAATCAGAAATTATAAAGGGGAAACTGCCCCCCAAACTATTAAGAGGATTGAACCCCGACTTTGCTAATTAAATGTACACCCAAACATGTTGTGTCTCATATTTCCTCCATAAAATGGGTATTACACTTGTGTTGTATGTGCAAAGATTGATGTTTGGTGATAATATAGGGGGAAAGGCAATATAAGCCTCTACTCTGTTCCTCCCAGAAACACGTGTTAAAAAATTTGATTGTAATCAACCCACAAATGCACAAGACCTACACACAAATCCTTGTTTATCACTAGAGGAAAAGGGTTCTTGGGTCTGTCAACACACACACCACTGCCCCATCCCCTCCTGTGATCAGTGGTGTATGTGCCAGACACTTCCTCCCGACTCTGGCTAATTGAAACCTACACCTTTGATTTCAGAACATCCTCTACTCCTAGATCCAGTACTGCCATCCAACCCATTCTTGGGATCCTTCCTGCTGCTCCCTAGCCCTGGGTATTTGGGAGGATGACTAGAAACCAACAAGACTATTTGCTCGGTTGAACATGGAAACTCCACAGCCCAACCCCTTGGTTCGGGGCAGATTGCCTCTGTTGACAAAGACTTAGCTCACCCATACACCCCCAGCCCCATCTGTGGGAAAAGATTGGAGGCAACATTCCCAAGCCAAATTGTATCAGCTTTATTAAAGATACTTTTCATAAACAATCATGGTATTCAGGCAGGACATGGGCAGACGATCGTTAACAGCATATAACAACTTTCAAACTCCCTTCTTCAATGGACCACCAAAATCAGAAAGCCACTGTAAAACCCACTGAAGTCTTAGGCTGATGCTCTGAACGGGGAAAGTTTAGAGTGAGGGTGGACATTTCACATTTAGCATGTTGTTTTAACAACTTTTCACGAGCCGACCCTGACTTTCAGAGAACGAAATGAACACGGCAGAATTACCAGTCTGAACAAAGGTGGCGCTGCTCTTTTGAGGGATGCCACGAGGATGGCGTCACTGGAAAGTCCAGATCGCCCAACATACTAACAACCAATGTTTTGAGGTCAAGTCCCAACAGGTCTCTGGGTTTATGGGAGTCAAGTCTATGCTGAAGGCAGAGAGGGAGAAGGTATGGAGGATGTAAAAACAAAGCTGTACTTTTCCTCTCTCACAAGGTGTTTGTGCCAAGGCGGCTAACATGTGTCAATGTCAGGGAATCCCATCTCCTGGGAACCCAGAGGGAGTCCCTCAAAACTAGCAGGACAAGGTGTTGTCTTCCACTCTATCCAGCTTTGGAGACAGCCTATTAGTGACATTTGCCCCTCCCCCCAAAAGACAACAATGAAGTGTTCTGTGTGCTAACAACATAGCTTTAAAAAAAAAAAAAAGAGTAAAACAAAATTCCGCATTTTTATAAAACTTGATAAAAAATAGTATTTCAAACTGTACACTCACCAGAAGTACACAGTTATCAAAAATGCACACACTTCACTTGGCATCTCCAGCACCTTCAGCTCTCTGTGCCTGGAAGAAAAGCAGACAGACGTGAAATGATCACTCTACAGCATTCTTTGGCTCCAATGCCCAAGTTTCAGATACTTGTAACACTTCTGAGACTGACCAGGTCACCTGTGGAGGTGGCTCACCATCTACGTGCTATAAAGTCAAGGTGGGCAGATTGGGTGTGGGGGAACACACCAGGATTAGATGATCTATGGTCACCCAAGGCCCCAAAAGTCTGTGATTTTACAAGTGCTATTCTTGGGGAAGAAGTCGAAATTTCACTTGTAATACTAGCACGCCGGGTCAAAATCACCTTGCCGTAGCACCCCTTCACTGGACAGTGGCAACTTGAAGAACTCAGGATTTAAACAAACGGGAAGACGACAGGCAAACCCTTCACCCAAAGTTTCACAAAGCAAGCAATACTGTCAAACTGGGGGTGCTGCCAACTAATTCTTCCTACTCGCCCTCACCCCCGAAAAGAGACAATCAATCGTAAGGTTGGGAACCCATCTCTAGACAAACGCCCATTTCATTTCTGTTTCACTCTTCAAGAAATTAAGACTGCAACTGAAGTGATGTGGTCCTCGGGAAATGGCAGCTGAATGGTTTTGGGCATCACTAACAGGCTAACTCGCAGCGGTACCTGGTCTGTTTTGGCGTCTCCATTTTCCGCAGGGTTGTTCCCGTCCTTGCCAGCATCAGCTTTCCCCTTTTTCCCTTTAGGTACCTTCTCTCCCTTCTAAAAGGAAGGAGGGACAGGAATGAACACTTTCTTCGCATTTCACAATGTTTTATTAAGTTTGGCACAAGGTAGGATTGGTTTATCGAAGATTAAGAACAAAAAACAAACCTCAAACACCATAAAACAACAAACACAACTATCACAGAATAACCCTTCACCTACTGAGATAAACAAATGATGCCAAGCTGCTTAGTTTGTGACCAGAAATGTTACTTGTGAGTGTAACAAGTCAGCTTCCAAATTTGGGTATTTAATAACCAAAATTCAGAGTCCTTTGTAAACTGGTTAACACAACTGGACATTAGTAACACAAATGGCGGGAATAAGGTCAAGCTATCTACATTAAACATAGACGTTCTCTCGTGGGTCACTATGATGCCGAAATACTGAGGTTCTAGAGTTCCAATCATTTTGCTCTATCTCAAAACTTAGCCGCCAATGTCCTGATGGTAACACGTAGGAGTCCCTGCAGGTGTGCTTGCCTCCCAGCCCCTCACCTTTGCAGGGGCCTTTTTCGGCTTGGGCTCTGGTTTTGCAGGAGCAGGTTTCTTTGGGAGGGAGAGAAAGAACGTTAGGACAATGGATCGAAACAAACAAAAGCCACCATCAAAACCTTAGCACCACCAGTACCCGGGAGTGAGTATGGCGGCTGGTTTTCATGGCAATGTCCCATGTCCAGAACTGCCCCCCCAGCAACTCTTGGAAACACTCCACGTGGGTCACTCACCAGAATTTCAGAACCAGCAAACTGTTAAGTGGGCTAGGGTCTGAAATCGAGTACAATACCAAAAAACCAGTAACGAGCCATACTTCTTGGAAAGTATTGTCTTTACACACATCGTATTAAGATTCAGGGATAAAGAAAGAAGCTATATGTAAAAACAAACACACTTACAGCAGACAACCTTGCTGATCTCCTCTGAGGCTATAAAAGAAGTTTTGAGGAAAAGTTAGAAAACAGACGATAAACCAGCTGAGTCTTAAAAATAAATTTTAAATTTCTGTGCCAACCGATTCCAGACCGAGGTGAAAACGAGATCACTAAAGCAAATTAAAAGCCAGGGCTGGCTTGCTGGTTGTCATTTAAGGAGTCCTATGGTCTTCAAGTCCACCCCAACTTCATGGAGCATAGTAAGACGGCGGATCTCATCAGTGGTCCAGCCCTTGCCCCATCGCACTATGTGAGACGGGCCCCCAATAGTTAGGACTTACTTCATCCTTCACCTTGGCTTTATCTCCCTTAGCATCCCCTTCAGCCTACAAGAAACAAAACAAGGTAAACCGCAGCCCAAAGAAATGCTTATTGAATTTTCCAAACGTAATAAACACCTATATACGCAACACCTGTGAAGGACGTGGGCAAGTAAGTCAGATACGGAGAGAGCGGTAAGCACCATCACTTCAGACTTCAGGCCCCAACGGGTCCGAGGCCGCACAGCCCGCGGGCGCAGCCGCCGCGCCCGCAGCACCCACAGCTGCAGGGCGCCAACAGGCCCTCCC